AGAGAGAGAGAGAGAGAGAGAGAGAGAGAGAGAGAGAGAGAGAGAGAGAGAGAGACTAAAATTATGTAAGACACATGGAATAAATGTTTACATAAAAATTTGTGTTTTTAAAAACTTGTAAAACGGATAAATCTCACGGCAATAAAAAATATTGATTCCTATATTCAAATGATTAGGTGATAATCGGGTGCAGAGATATACAAAAGGGAGAAAATGCGGCCCAAGATATTAGGATTAAAAATCCAAAGGCAGACATAATTGTCATGAAATTGGATTTATCCTCACTTTCATCGGTCCGACACTTTGCTAAATCAGTGGCAAAACAGTTGACCAAAGTTGATATCCTTATAAACAACGCCGGAGTTATGATGTGTCCGGAGTCGACTACAGACGAAGGCTTTGAACTTCAATTAGTGTCCAATTATTTGGGTATTAAATCATTATTATTGTTAAATTACAAGCAAATTATTATTTTTTATCATAATTTCAGGTCATTTTTTGCTAAACCATTGTTTAATGCCTTTATTAAAAAAGTCAACGAAAGCACGAATTGTGAATTTGTCATCAATTTGTCATATATTAGGAAAAATACATTTCGATAATATAAACCTCAAGAATGGTGTTTACAGACCAATGAAAGCCTACAGTCAAAGCAAATTGGCTATCATTTTGAGCACTCAAGAAATGTCCCGTAGATTAGGTACCGACAGCTCTGTCACTGTCTATAGTCTTCATCCGGGAGTCATTCAGACAGAGATTACCCGACACTTCCCATTATATTTATATCTATTCCTTAAACCCTTTATGGTATCGATTGAAACGGGAACTCAAACAACACTTTACTGTGCGCTCGAAGAGAGTATTGAAAATGAGTCCGGATTTTATTACGAGTGAGGCTTCCTATTATTTTTACCATTATTTCTATTAATGTAATTAATTTTTAAAATATGAATATTTTAAATTTGAATATCAATAGAAACTGTCAACGACTCGATAATATGGTTTCGCAGGCAATCGACGCCAAAAATGCACAAAAACTATGGGATTTGAGCTCCGATTTGGTTCAACTCGAAGATCAACTTAAAATTAAATGAATATATCATTCATTCATTCATTTAAAATTATATACAATAGATTATATTTTAAAAATTTCATTGCAATTATTAATTGAATTCATTTAGCTACCGCTTATTTTTCCAAATTCATAAAGTTAATCGTGCTTTATCATTATTTAATTTTCACAAAATCTTATATTGTTTTATGAAATAGTATTAATTTCAATGACATTGAAAATAGTTATTATCTACAGACAATAGATACTATAGAAAGAGTTCATTTCAAGTTATAATTAGAGGCGATGTTAATAAAAATATACAATTTATCAGTAATTTCCTAATCCAATGGCAAACCTCCTGAAAGTCTGAACGACAAAGTTATAAAAGTGCACAAACATTATAACACAATTTCATTTAATTACAAGTTTTAATATAAAATCAGTACAAGACTGCAAACAAAGTATAAAAAGTATTAGATTTTCATTATTTATTGTTTGTTATCCTTTGGATCGGTAACTGAATTCGTGGACAGAATTTTAATAAAATTTTTCTGAGAGAAAATTCATTAATTGTTAATCGAAAACATGAGTTATTTGAATGATTTATTGGTTACAATCATTACTTATTTAGAAGTTTTCAAAATCCTTTTGGGAACCAAAAGGAAATATAAAATTCATTCAAAACTTAATGGAAAAGTAGTACTCATTACCGGAGGAAACACAGGACTCGGCAAAGAGACCGCATATCAGATGTCATTACTCGGAGCTAAGGTTTGTTTGATTTTGTTTTTTACATTAAATAAACACAAAT